AGGGCATAAAGTAAAAGAAAATGGGTCATAATAACAACTGCTGCCAAGAACATTGTCTCAGAGAGCTGGCACCCGGACAACGAAGCAGTGCTGCCAGAGGTTTATTCCAGGCTGTGTTTGTCAGCTCGCTGCAGGCAGGGCAGCGCTGCGCCTGACAAGGTGGGGCCTGGAAGCAGTTGCAAGGAGTTCATTTTCTTTGGAGATCAGCAGCTTCCAGAAACATTAAAGATGTCAGTTCAATTTTTTATCCCCTCCGCAGAGGAAGGCGGATGTATGTAAGGAGGTAGAAGTGGTTAATTGCTCTGAGGTTGTACCAAGGTCCTGTAATGAATTAAACTGAGATGAGTTTAATTGAAACACGGTGTGGAAGAAATTTTTTAGACAGCAAACGGAGTAAGTGAGATATGGCTCTCCCAGAAACGCTGGCCAGCCATTTGGAAAAAAACTTTAAGGGCTGGGTTATGAAGGAGATAAGTAAGGGGGAGACTCTCAAGCAGTCAAGGAGGAGGTTTCCACTAAGTAAATGAACTATGCCCTGTGTCAGCTTGTCCGCTGATCCTTTATGCTCATATGGATGATCGCTCCGTATCATTAACTGCCATCAGATGAAATGCCCATTGCCAAAAGCCCTTGAGTATGAAGATGATGTTCCAGTTGTTATTTCTTTTGTGTGTCTTTTCAGCTTGTGGTTTGCTTGGAGGAATGCTTGCCATGCTATTTGGATTCAATGAACCTAAATACAAATCTGCAACAATAGTGGAACACTACAGGGCCTGAAGGAGGTAAATGAGACCTGTATCTCAGGAGGATGGAGAGGATGCACTTTACTTTACTCCTATGATTTATGCCACATGAGATATTAAAAAGTGGTTTCAGCCCTAAACAATTTACTGTTGGAGCAAATTTGGTTCTGTAAAACTTTTCACTCTTTCACTTAAAGCTCTTTGAAAGCTTTAGGAGAGTCTTGAGCATGATTATTAGTTTGTGTCCTATGACATGCACCGATCCTCTCATATGGTATGCTCTGCAGTTACTGTATTTATACTTGATTTTGACTGTAAATGATACATGACATTGAATGAGTAAGAAGTCAACACAGCCTTAGGGGGTTTTATTCCCCAGATCGATGAGGCAGGGGTGCATGGCAAAAGTGATGCTGGTGTGTAGTCACATTGTTCATTTTAGTGTCACTTTCTGGTAGCAGAATCAGAAATCAACACTGCTCTGAGCTTTGGGGAAAAATATTGGCCCTATTTTTGGGACTAGAGTCAGGGTATTGTGTTAGCAGTATCTCATGAGGAAAAATCTAAAGAAATAGAGAAGCACCTTAGAAAACTTGGTCTAAGCAGAAAGGTCTCTTGGGAATGTGGGCGATACAAAAACACTCCCCTAAAAAAGTAAATTACAAAATGTTTTTCTTTTGCTGTCACCAACTCACGGAAAGCCTCTGTGAGTGTGATAGCTCTGTTGTAACACTCCAACACTCCTGGTTCTGTTAGTGCTTTTGGCTCTTGGATAATCCAGCTGAATAAAGTACCACAACGCTAATTATCCCTTCACTAATTCTTGCCAGGAACAAAATAACCTGCCCTGCTTTGTTATGCTGAGAGACTGGTTATTGACTGCCATGCTAATGGTGATATTACTGCACATTTAGTTCATCAAAGACCTGTCCCAGTGTTTCTTAAGGAAATGCTGTGCAGTTGATCATCCAGGTGAAAAATTGTCACTAAGGATGGATGAAAATCGTGATGGAGTTGAGTTTTTCCAACAGTAACATTCTGTACAAGAGACAGGTTTGTTTTAACACGGGGGAATAGAAGCTTATGGCTTTGTCATTTTAAGATTGTTTTGCATTGCTGAGGGCTGGATTTTAATTTTGGAAATGAATTAGGCATGAGCTCTTGCACTTTAGGGGCAACACAGCTTCCCCTGAGGTCTAAAATGCCAGCTTGTGCCAGTTTGTTCTTTTAAAATGAATGTCTGCTTTGAAAAGGGGAAACTGTAAAAAAGGCAATGTGCTTTTCCAAATTTTGGGTGTGATATAGCAGAATTTTAAAAGGAGATCTCAGCTCCACTAATACGTCCTGTGATCTTCCGCTTGAGTTTGATACTCATTAATCAAATGCTACTCTAAGTTCTCTGTGACTGTCTTTAATTTTAATATTTGATACACAAATGTATTAAATTACCTTTTATCAGGCTTGGATAGGGAAGGGAGTAACCTGAGAGCAGCAAGGCAACAGAGAAGGCTTTGCAGAAACCTCTAGCCTGAGAGAAGCCTGAGCCAGAGGAGAATCCAGGTCTCCGTAGGAGACTCCATCTCTGCCACTGATTTCTTGCAATTTTTTGCTGCTAAAAAAAAAAAATATATCCATTTCTAAAACCTAATAGCAGATTAGCAGTTGATGCTTTCATATTGTTGCTTTTCAAGGTTTGTTTTAAATACTTTTTGCAGCTTCTGGCATTGCAAATGTCTCAGTGTTACTTCACCATGTGAGCTACAGCCTTAAATAAGCTGCAATACGTATGTACGTAGTCGAGCCTCTGCTCTCAAGGTAACTGGAAGCACGGAGACAGCTAGCATCAGTCAGTGCTCCAGATATAAGATACCAAAGCTAATTACCTTTTATCTAATGAATGTTTTACTCTTTTATCTTCAGGAACACAGATATAGTGGAGAGACTTGTGAGAGAAATGACATGGTGAAAAAAGCCACCTTGGGTGCAGGGTGTTGAATATGGGTCAGTTAAGGATACAGTGGATTTTGCTCAAAGTGCTTTTGCAAATGTTGATGAGGTTTCAGAACATGACCTGTGAAGTTTCTTGACTACTAAATATCGAACGTTGCCATTATAACATGTCTCTGATTAAAGAAATGTACAGGCTAATAATGAATCATTAGCAGGCTGTGGCATAACACATCTCCTCCCTTGGCCATTTGCTTCCTATTTAACTGATCTTGGACCTGTCATTAGTTGATACTTGTGAATATGGAAAACTTACTCCGTGGGACAGTACGGTGCATTTCAATATCCTGGTACACCTAAATCAGCCTGCAAAGTCCATCCTGCTTGGTTCTGGGCTGCTGAAGATTTTTTCTCATTCATCAGAGTAACAGAATGAAAAACAAAACAAAACAACGAAACCTTTAGCTGACTGAAAACATGTAAAATTTACCTTCTAAAATATTCAGTAAAGGAAGTGGTTAAACAGTAATGATCATGATTTCATGAATTCTTGCTTCCGTATTTTCTCTAGAAGCTAAAACCTCAGTCGGTATTCATAAGGAATTGGCTTTATAGGTCAACCAACCTAATAAAAGAATATCCTTATTCTAGCTGATGTGCTGCTTCACTCAGCTCCTTATGAGATATGGAGGGAGTATTGTCCTGAGCTACTCTGCCTTGAACTTTTTCAATGACTCTCATGTGTTAAGAAAGTGAGAAGCACATCTGGAAGAGTGAATTATGTAAAGCGCTCTGCAGGATGAGTTTTCTGGGCAATACTTTGAGTAGATTTCTAAATTATGTTTTTCCCTGACATATTCATGGCGTTTGAGACAAAGTTTGGTTCTGCATGGGCCTGTGTGGTTTCTGGCTGGCTACACATAATATAAAATTCACCAGTTGCTGGGTTGTCAGCTGAAAATGAAAATCAGTGCTGCTCTGTTGTACCTGCCAACCTTTTAATTCTCATTTGTTTTAAAAGGCTCAGACTGAGCGCAATGGTTTACAGCATGAAGGTTTTTATAAGTATAACATTCCCCTCCATGGAAGCTGTTTTCTTTCTGAGCTAGTCAAAACTAAGTATCAGAAACACAGTCACTGAAAGCAGAAGTTTAATTCATCTGCATGCAAATTGCCACGGTAAACCATGCTTGAGTCGCACAGGGAAGATTGGAAGTGACACAGCCTCCGAGCAAAACTGAAGAGTTCGGCCTTATTTCTGCATAACAAGTGCCGTGTGTGACTGAAAGCGATGAATTTTCCATCACTTTCTCACAGGCTGATGAGTATCTTGTTTCCTTGGCATTTCTGTTTCTTTCCAGTCTCAGAATTGGAGAGTTGAATTCCTCACCTTTCAACTCCTGCCCTATAAACCAGCCTCAGTAAACATCTCGGGTAAAATGGCACACTCCGCAGGCTTGTCAGTGCAACTGGAGGAAATGTTGAAATCTAAACGATTTCCATTACACATTTCTGTTGTTTTCTGATAACTTTACTGCGTATCAGATCTCAGGATATTGTATTTTAATATAAAGGTCAAATCAGTAGAATTTATTCCCACCAGTCGTTCTCTCAACCATTGTTTTTTTTCTTAGTTTTGTTTTGTTTTTGAGGGGTGGAGGTGTTTGCTTCTAATAGAGCAAGCCTTGAAAATGACAGAGGAACCTGTTCATGAAGGATTTTTTTGCCTTTTTACTAAACTTCAGATATAGCCAATTGTGCTAATGAAGTTAATCTGTTCCCATGGCTTTGCTGAGCCTGATGCAAGAGCAAGGGATATCCCTTCAGTCCTGTATCCTGTGCCTTAGCCTTGGACTTGTGGGAATGCCTGACCACAGACGAGGATGGACTGGGAGGGTTCCTGCCCCCAGCTGCAGGTCCACCCTCCTCTGGGTTGTCCTTGCTGCACAGAGGTTCAGCAGCTGAGCAGCAAAAGCTGCCCATAAAAGACAGCCAGCCTTACTAAAATATACCAGCACACACCACACCATGAGCTCCAGCAGTGACAAAGCAGAGGAAAAAAAACCCTCTGGTATCAAATGTAGAACTTTTTTTTTAGAGGGAAGAGTGGGATAAAACATTGCCAGACAAAATCCAGGCAGGCATCCATAAGCGACTTGTCCCCAGTACTCCTCAGAGCATCTCTGGAAAAGAGGTGAAACAAATATGGGAATAACTGAACGCAGAACGGGCTAAGAGGTACCCTCTCTATTTGTGGGGAGAACTGAGGAAGGATTAGGTGGGTTATGAATTTACATTTCCCATTCAGCATCTGCAAAGAGCTTTGTGCCTTAAGTAAGTCCTCTATACACCATTTATTTATTTTAATACAAATCATAGAATATCCCTCTGGACCATAGGCAGGCATTGACAGACTGGTACAGGAGATTCCTCTTAGGTGGATGTCTGCTTCCCTGCACAGCTCTGGGAAGTGTAGTAATGGTTTGGCAATGATTAGAGGCTCTCTCTATAGGATTTTTGCTTTGCTTTCAGTGCAGATATAGCAAAGCATGACTCCCATATTGAAGATAAAAGGGATAATCACCAAGGATTTGAGTCAATACTCAGTAAATTGAATTTATACTTGTGTTTCAGTCTAAACTGAATGTATTTAACTTCTTTTCAGAATAATATTCTCACTAAAGAGAAAATATATAGCTCTGCTGTTCCTTGTTCAAGTTCAGTTACCTTTTTAAATTAGGTGTTCTTTTTTTCTTTTTTTTTTTTCTTTTTTCTTTCAGCTGGTGCCAATGCCTATAACACTGTCTAGGGGAGACTAGTCCAATAAGCCTTGGGGAAGGAACAGCCATTTCCACCATCAGTTCTGATGTTTCACCGTAAGGCAGAAGACGCCCACACCACATCTTTGCTCAGGAGAGCAAAGGCTTTCTCGTGATTTCATGAGTAAGGGGAGCATAACAAAGGAAGCCATTGCAGTCAGCTATTTCTGCCTGGATAATACACACAGGAGGCTCCATTTCCACCCTCTCTGGCTTTTGGCAGGTTGCCTCTTTTTGCTGTTTCTAGTTTGTACCTGATGGTATCTATGTTGGCAAGGTAGGGGTAAGGATGAGAAAGAGGAAACTGGTGGCTGAGATCTGGAGGGAATCTTTAGGAGAGGGGCACACCCATGAAAATGGGACATCAACTCAATTGGTTTCCACTTGTTGAAAAATAGAGTTGTTTGCTTTACTACTTTTATGAAAGCAATCAAAAGGTGCTTCTTCTTTTGTAGCATCATTTCTTGTATTTTCTTGGCAATCTATGAGCGATCATGACTATGGGCAAGTCATACTGCTGATAATTGTAGAATAAAATCATGGACCCCCAATATAACTACTTGTTTTCAACACTCGCGGGTTGAGGTTGAAGTGTAGGCAGCAGATCGATGTTGTTGATGTATCTGGTGTCTTGTCTGATGTGGTGGCAATTCTGTACATGCCTCCAGAAGAGGCAGCAGAGCTATGATGCATCCACCTCGTTCCTGTGTTCTGGCAGCTCTAATTGGGAATCAAGTTTTGTTTTGTGAGGTGCGGCACAAATATCAAATAAAAGATAGTTTGCCAGTAGGAACCTACCTGTAGCTCATAGGAGATGATAAAAGGTCATGCCCTGTAAGTGGTGTGGCAGCGTTCATGCCTCCAGATGAGCTGGCAAGGACACAGCAGCCATGAAACAGAGAGCTGAGTCTTGTGCACCACAGCTTCCAACAATCCCTCATGTTCAAAACCCTAGTGACCTAGCTATCTTTACACTTAAGCAGTGAGAGATCATTTCTAGCATTCCCCCCCCCCCCCCCGCCCAACATTGCTAAAAGAGTGAGATTTTCTAGTTGCTGCCAAAAAAATTAAGAATTTTGGGATCCCAGTCTACATCCTTGTTCTTTTGCTAACCATTTAAAATACCTGTTCAGGGAAACAGCTTGCTGCTCTTTCATCTTTCTGCAAAGATGGGTTCTAACACGATGTTATAAGGAGCCTATGCTAAGTGCTTTGACAAAAAGACATGAAGACTCTGAAATGAAATCTTATTTACTGTGGTGTTATTAAAGCACTAAATAAACAGACAGGCTCAGAAGGGCTGGTAGGATGTGGGCGGGTGAATAAATGAGCTTTGATGCTGATGTCAGTCAATGCTAATTCCTATCCTTTGAAGAAAATGTGATAAACACAGCTGCCAGGAATGTGATCTGAAATTGCTCTAATTAAATTAAATTTTCACTGGAATGAAAGTAGCTAAGCACCTTGCTTTGTTTCCTTTCTAACTAGACTAATTCAGATAATAATTAGTTTTGGATTCTTTCATCAGTAGGTAGGAGAGTAGGGTTTTCTTAAACCCTGCAAGAAACTATTGTATGAAATTCTGTATTCATATTCCTTTTATTGTATTTTCCACCTAAAATTTGTATCTCACCTTAGAATCTTTGGTTTTCAAGGGGGAGTTATCTGTACTGCCTGATAAACACTTACTTCATAGAAACATGGTCAGACTTTTTAATATCCATGTGTTTTTCTCCTAAGTTTATGCATTTAATAGTAAGGAGGGATCGAGGGTACTTTCAATGGTTATGAACTATTTAACTACTGATCGTGGATGGGGTTTGAAGGTAAGAACCAAATGTCAGTATTGAGAAAAATATCAAGGGAGGAATGATAAGAAAATAAAGACAGATGGTCTCTGGATAATCCCTCATTTTTTGTCTCCCTGTTTCAAAAAAGCAGCTCACTCCCTTTTGCAGATGCATTAAATGATCAGTCAGTCCAAGCTTTGCAATTTTACTTTGTTAGTAAATTTTTTACTGGATTTTGATGGATGGCTACTCCTTTTTGGGTGGGATCTGAAAATGAAGTAGGGTTATCTCAGTTCTCTTTTCTTTTCCTGCAAAAGTTCTCTTTTGCAACCGTTGTTTGATGAAGTGATTTAATTAGTTACCAAGAACAGAATAACCAGAAATAAATAACTGCTATATAGATACATATACACATAGACATGATTTGTGTTACTGATTTTAAATTATATAAAAGTTGTGTTCGAATGTAATGTTATAAAATAAATATATGAACAGATATATCTATAAATTTTTATATATGCATAGGTTATTAATTGATAATGATACTTTCTATCAGAGCCATCTTTCAGTTTCCAAAATACGTTAGTTATGGCAAATTGATTTGACGAGGAATCCTAGTCATTTCTTTTCTAAGTTTGAACACTAGATGGCACTGGAAGACAGGAGCTGAGAAGTGTAATTTTATTTAAATTTCTCGAGGTTCCTATACTTCAATGGAGGCTCACTGAGACATAAATAATATTCTGCAGATATATTTTGTGGTTAAAAAAAAAAAAAAAAAAGGAAGGTGTCACATGAATTACAGAATCATACCAGATGACTGAGTAGTCACTTGAGCCTAGAGAAGAAATCAGCACAATTAGAGATTAAGTACCAGAATGCGGAATTAAGTGACAAGACCTGGCAGCAGGGTCCCTCTGGAGCAGGAGGGGCTGAGCTCTACTCTTCCACTTGTTCTTGTTGCTTCACAGGAAGATCTCTTCTTAAATTCACTTGCTCTTTCCCATTTACTGTTGCATTCCTGGCATGCTGCTTCAAGCCCGAGTCTCGACAGAGTTAAATATGTCAACTTTCACAGCATTTTTTGTCTGATCAAACGCAAGTTATTGGGCTGATACAGCAGATGTTGCTGGCATTTAGGATGAAATCTGAGCCAGAATGCAGAATTATAATGAGCCTTTAATAAAAACCATGTTGAGTGAAGAGGGAGAGGGAGGGAATTGGTGTCTCTGACTCAGGCTGCCAACCCTGACTCCCAAACCCTGGGTGTTTCACATGCTTCAGAGTGACCTTTGAAGAACCAATTATTCTCACAAAGGGATTAAACCCTAGCAGCCTGTTGTGTGCAAGGGATCACTGCAGGTTTTCTAGTATTTTATTCTGGTCTTAAAAATCATGAATATGTAGCTTTACATAAACTGCAAATGTAAGCCCTCAAAGCTTAGGCAATACCATGTCTGAGAGTAAGAATGCAACTGTATTTCAGCCCATTCTGTGTGCTAAATGAGGAAAAGATCATTTTGGACAAAATGGGGCGTGATCATGCAATTAAAAACCAACACACATGTGCAAGGCAGCACAATTATGACTGTGACAAGCTTTTCCTGGGATTTCAGCACTTGATTTGTTTATCCAGATGTTCCTGGCTATCTGTAATTTCGTACACAATATTAGGTGGTGTTTGTGTGTGTGTTTTTGTTTGCTTGTTTTGTTTTCTTGATATTTTGTTGTTGTTGTTGTTTCTGAAAGAGTACCTAGTGTGATACTGCAGGCCAGCTGTGGTGGGCTGAGAAGGGATTTGTGAAGATGAGTTATATCTGGAAGGAAACAGCCCTGTGGTTGTGGATTTGGCTGTTGGAGCCATGGCCAAGGTTTGCCCAAGCTAACCAAGGGTCCTCATCACAGCTTTTATATTCCTGCTCTTCCCGACATCTTTGGCATGTTCCCTATATCGCCATGGTGTGAAGGTTCCTCTGAGACCAACCCCAGTCTGGGTGACTTGATCTCATTTCTTTACTTGAAATTCCTCAGGAAGATCCCGTGTTTTCAGATGGTAAAATTGCATTATTTTCCTCGTGGTAATTGTCTTACTGAAAAAGCATTCTTTTAACCTCCGGTATGACTTTCCATCTGTTTAGATCTCTGCTTAAAACTGTGAATATTATATCACACTGAAACACCCTTTCTGGGGAGAACATTAAAAAACACCCATTTGCGCGCACCTTGCGGCACACTGTTCCTATTTGGGGCTTTACACTTCTACTCTGACAGGAAAACTCGTGTCAGAACCACGTTCCTTCATTTTTATAGGTTTTGGGTAAGTCCTTGAGGGCAGCCCATGAACTGATCGACTCGCGGCCTATTTTTATTTATATTATTTTTATTTTTATTTCCTTGGGTCGCCGCGAACCCCAACCGGCCGAGGACGCCAGCTCTGCGCCGCACTCAAGATGGCGGCCGCCTAGGTGCCGCGCTCAACATGGCTCCGCCCGCGGCCCCTTCTCCGTCCCCCCGCCCCGCTGCCCGCCCCGCTGGCGGTGCCTTCCGTCCGTCCCATGGTAACTGCGCCACGGCCGAGACGCCGCGGAGCCCGCTCGCTTCCTGCCGCCACACCGGGCTCGGGCGGGGCGGCCGCGGCCGCCTCGGGGACCCCGCCGCGGGCAGCCCGCAGGTAGGCGCTGCCGCCGCCCTCTCCCCGTAGCGCGGAGGGTGAGGAGGGGAGCCCCCCGGGGCCGTGCCGGTAATGGCCGCGTCAGCTCCGCCGGCCCCCTCAGGCAGCCGGTAGAGCCGATTCTCTTCAGGAGCGGGGTGAGGAGCCAGCTGTAGTTACTTGAGGCGTGTTTGTGTTTTAAGTGACCGAGGGCTGTCCGGTCAGGACTCCCGGTAGCCTGTTGAGCAGCTGTGGGGCTGTGACAGGCGAACAAAAGAGCTGCCGTTGTTACAGACCTGGGGAACGGCAACGGGGCGCTGAGGGTCCTGCTGCATCCAGAGCACCAACGGGCTTGGTGTTAAATGTGCCGGCTGGTAGAGCTGGAGGAGAAGGGGGCAAGAAAAAAGTTGGGACTTTTGGATTTGCTTGAGAGAAGATCCTTAACCGGCCCAAGGGATGGGAGCCAGAAGCAACTGTGGGAGACAGCCGAGGGGATAACTCCCCTTTGCAGGGGGAAAATGTGTATTGGGAAAGCTTAAATACTTAAAATATCAGCATTTATAGGCTGTTGCTGGGCCTGTTTAAGTTTGCGGTAACTAAATTGCTGTCTGTAACAAACAATGTTTATAAACATTTACTTAAAGGAAAACATACAATAAATATAACTTGTTACTTCAGTTTTCCAGCAGCTGCAGCTAGTATTGAGAGGCTGCTGTGCTGATTGCTGAAGGTACACCTGAACTGGGATACAAACTAATAAGTTCAACCACCACCAACAAAAAGAAACTTGATGCTTTAGTAATTAACTTTAACTGGCAGCTTACCCAACACGGCAGCCTTTGCCCCAAGCATTCTATTTAGGGGGGAAAACGTATGCCATGGTTGCTGTATTGGCTATTCTAGAAATCGTTAAATAAAAGGCAAACCTGAATCGTACAGGAAGATATCCTGCTTCACAGTAACATCCTGTGGTAATATAATGGCCTAATTTGAGAATACTGTTATTTTGGGGCTAAAAGCTTAAATGTGTCGCATCAGTTAAAAGCAGGTGGATGTTGGAATTAAGGCCGGATACTGTAGTGCAAAATATGGAAGGCCACATTAGGATCTGAGAGACTACAGCATAAATCAGGAAGCTTTTTTCCCTTTTGGGGCTATTGTCTGTACGTAGGAAATAAAATGCGTTCATTGGATTTTTCTTTTTTTTTTTTTAATCTGCCTTTGAAACTCACTAGAGTAGAATTAAGGCTGTTTCTGGGTTATAATTTGATAAACCACCAGTGGCTGTTCACCTGCATGGAGCCTGGAGGAGCGCCGTGCTGGTTTGGGCTTTCCTGTGGGTACACCAGTGACTTTGCCTTTTCTGGCTAATTAGTCGATGAGACGTGACTTCAGGAGAAAGCTTGCTTGTTCTTCATTTTAAAGCGTTGCTGAGAAAGTAGTTATATTTTCCTTTAACTGACTTTTCTTTTTCCCTTACCTCTTCCTTCTGAATCTGCTACTGTTACCGATTCCTCATTTTGTTGGAAAAAGCCCTGTGAAGCTGTCTTTGACTGATCAGAGCATTACTGTAGCAGGAACAAAAGATGTTGATAGGGGGAGAGCAGTCCCAAAGGGCCCTGAGGAGAAAGAGATGGAATTCAGCTTAGTAGCCTCCAAAAAAATCTTGCCATAGAAGAGGTGAAAAATAAGACTATAAAAGAACAAAGGTAAAAAGAACATGTGAAAACACTTAGTTCTCATAATGTTACCCTTTCCCATGAGGAGGCTTTTTGAATGGCTTTCATAGTAATGTTTCTCATATGTTAGCCATAGATTTGAGCAGTAAGCTTTACTTTTCCTCTAAGCCTTTAACAGAGATGACTGATTTATTAGCTTTGATAGAAGTGTAGAATTAC